GCCAACTAAATATCTGCTTGGAAAAATTGAGTATCTATCCTTACTTCACACCACACCCCAAAATTAACTCAAAATAGGTCACTGACCTAGATGTAAACCTAAAACCATAAAACTTCTAGAAGAAAGCTTAAGAGAAAATCTTGGCAACCTTGGATTGGGCAAAGGTTTCCTAGATGGGACATCAAAATCACAAATCATAAAAGAAAAAAATAGAAACTTGGACTTGATCAAACTTTAAAACTTTTGTTCTTCATAAGGTACCATTAAGTGAAAAGGCAGGCCACAGAGAGAAAATACAACATAGATCAAAGGACATTTACATGGAATTTATAAAAGAAACTCATACAATTCAGTAATAAAAAGCCCCCCAAACCCAATTTTTTTAATGGACAAACTATTTGAACAAACGCTTCACCAAAAAAGATGCACAGGTGGCTGATAAGCACATGCAAAGATGCTCAACAACATGCTTCACCAGTGAAATTCAGATTAAAGCTGCAATGAGATACCACTACGCATCCATTAGATAGGCTAAAATGAAAAGGGTTGAGCATGTCAAATGGAAGCCAGGACGTGGAGCAACTGAAACTCCCCTACATTGCTGGTACAACCAGTTTGGAACATATTTTTGTGAATTCTAAAAAAAGTTAAGCATATACCTACCATAAGACCAAGGCATGCCACTCCTAAGTATTTCCCCAAGAGAAACAAAGACATTTCCCACACAAAGTCCTGTGCATGAAGGTTCTTCATGGCTTTATTTGTAATGGTCCCAAACTAGAAATAGCTCAAGTGTCCATCAACAATCGAATGGGATAAACAAATTGTTACATATCTATACAAAGGACTATCACTCAGCGATACAAAGAGATGAACTACTGAGACGTTAAGCAACATGGACAAACCTAAAAATCACTATGCAGAATGAAAAATTCAAGCAAAAAAGAGTACACACTATTTAATTCTATTTATACAGAATAATAGAAAATACAAAGTAATCTAAAGTGACAGAAAGTAGATCGGTGGTGGCCTGGGAAAATGGGATGGAGGGAGAGAGGAATTACAAAGGGTCTCAAGAAATTTTTGAGAATGATGAATGTCTATTGTATTGATTATGGTGGTTACACAGGTGTATGATATGTCAAAGCAGATCAAATTGTACAGTTCAAATATGTGCATTTTATTGTACCTCAATAAAATTGTACCAAAAATAAGGGGAATAGGAGAATCCAGTTTACTGGCCAAGGCAACGGGTAGCTCTAAGGTTTGTTTCCAGTCATATGGTGAACTAGATAACCTAATCATCTCACTGTAAACCATTTAGAAATGGTAGATAAGCAATTAACAAACATTCTCTTAAGTGTATATTGACTTCCCTGGAGAGAGAGGCACCCAAGTTTGGCCTACCCTTGGAGAGCAGGAGAGAGGTTGCTGATTCCTTCCTTCAGCAAGGGCTTTGGTGTAAACAGGCACTCAGGGACCAGGACTTAGCCCTCACAGGGTAGGACCTGGGACTGAGACTCCCACATTGCTGAGAGCACTGAAGGGCTAAACCTTCAGTGGAAGGCTGGTCCAGGAAAAAAATCTTGCTGGCCCAGGATGAAAATAAGGAAGCTCTTCTGCCTTGGGAAAGGTCTCCTTTGAAAACATGTAACCACAGCCTATCCTCACGGGGGTTTAGGATTGGAATTTATACTACCTCTGTAGTCAGGTAAACCCAAAGTAGATAAATTGACTTAGGTGGTCCAGCCTGGAGCTCTGCTTGAGGCACCTGGCAGAAACAAACACAGAGCTGCTCCTTATGGCAAAATCCTTAGGCAAGCCTCATAGGTGTCTTCCAATAATACCCCGCTGAAGGTGAACTCTTAATACAAAGAAAGTAGCAAAACACATAAGAAAACTACAAAGGCAATATGTGTGCAAATGTATAGCTCTTGGGTGACACTTCTATTGCTAAATATTAGAATTTTTCTAAGCAGGGCAAACAAGTAGCCCATAAAATTTGGTACCTTTTTTCTCAGTGAGGAAATACTTGGAACCCCATTAAAAAGAATTGGGAATTATATCCGCTATACAGGTCCATGAAATGAAGGAAGCAAGTTACATAATAATACATACAGGGACTTCATTTTGAAGGAAAAGATGCAAAGATTATATATTTGCATGTGCATATAACAGAGTATGGAAATACACACACCAAACTTATTGAAGAGTATGATTTACGAAGGATGAAAGGAAAAGAGTTTAAACACCTGTGCATTGTTCAGATATGTTTTTTCTTTTTGACAATGAGCACTTGTAATTTATTTAAATAAAGGGAAATATTTTAAAGAGCTTTTTTGTATGTAACAATAATAGTGGCTATTTGTCATTGAAAATAATGGACAAAAACCAAATTTCTAAGTGTAGTACAATTGCTAGCTACCGGGAAGTCAAGCAATAGGCAGAGTAGGACAAACCCAGGGTTCTTTGGGGGAAAAATCCTGTTTTTCATGCTTTTCTTCATTTGGCGTTGTGTCACCTAAAATGCAATTATTCAGAAGCTGGTTTTCAAAAAGTGTCCCCTTCTGACAATAATGCTCATTGAAAACAACTTGGAAATGATTCAAGAACTGACTGCAGGTCACAGTTGCCTTACACAATAAACTTTATAGCCTGCCCCCAAAGAGACTGGGTCACAGCATCAGGAAAGATGGTGAGATCGTGCCTTGCTTGCACTTGGCTTAGACTTATTCAGGTAATCAAAGGAATGCTAGTTGAAGCAGGATGCCGGATTGTATATAAAAACATATAAATACTAAAAGACACAACTCTACATTTTTTTCTACAACATTCTGAAGAACTGAGTTATCTGAAATGCCTTGCTAAAAAGATATCTAATTGAAAAAGGATGTCTTGTTGGGGAAAAAGAAAGTCTTGCCTTTATAAGCAACGAGGAAATAATTTGCTGTGTTCTACAGTTAAAATCCTTCTTGGAGATAAGAGATATATGAAGTATAGGAAAAGAAAATTTCCAGGGCAGAATAAAAAAAATGAGTGGCTAAGAGATTTGTGTTGCATTGAAATTTAGCATTTGAAAATTTCATTTTAATTGAGTACATATAATAAATATATGAATGAGATTGAGCTGATCTACAGTTTCCTTTTAACAAAACTTCTCCTCCTACAGGCCAAATTTTAGATGTGTTGAGCATCAAAAAGAACAATAACTATAGGTGATTGTAAGATATCAAATGAAAACCCATGAGTCTATAACGATATTCAAGAGAAAAGGAAGATAACAAGAAAAGCTCTTTTTTTGTAGAATGTCCACTAATAAAGGTAGAAGGAAAGATAGTTGGAAAACTACCATTTTGCATTCACAAGGCCATAACCGATTCAGGCATTCAGGCAAAGATCAGCAATGTAAGCTAAAGCCATTCGTGAAGAATAGGGTATGCCCACAGTACCAAATAATCACCCACAAATACCAAACATTTGTAAAAAGGGAAAAAAACAAACTTTTTAATGAAGAAAGCTCTGCTTACCAACTTAGCCAAGCAATTACTTTTTTTCTGGTCTTTTTTCTTTCTTTTTTAAAATTGATTTTAGCGAGAGCGAGCAAGAGAGAAACATCAATGAGAGAAACATCCCACATGCCCTGAGCAAGCATCAAACCCGAAACCTGGGTATGTTACCCAGGAATTGAACCTCGACCTTTCGGAGCATGAGATGATGCTCCAACCAACTGAGGCATACCGGTCAGGACAGGGATCACTCTTCAATTCAGCAATAGCAAGGCAACCTGATATTATGTTCTTTGATGTTAAGTAATATAAGTACACAAGATCACTAGTAAATCTTCTTGCCAAGGATAAACTGAATCCAATCAAACCTCACACAATTTACAGGATACAGAGGGACTAGGAGTTAAGACAACGTAAGGAAACAAGCAAATCCAGAATGTGGGCCTTTCTACAACCAAGTGTCCTGACTTTAAAACTCGATGTCATTAAAAAAAAAAAAGTGAGATGACTATTCTAAATAGTTTATAGAGATCTACAAACAGATACAATGCATAACATTGATTGAATCCTGGTTGGGGAAAACAGAGAAGGGGCTATTAAAAAATTCTTGAGCCCAGTCAGGTGGCTCAGTTGGTTGGTATGTCTTCCTGTACACCAAAAAGGTTGCGGGTTCAATATCTGGTCAGGGCACATACCTAGGTTGCAGGTTCAATCCCCAGTCTGGGCTTGTACAGGAGGCAACTGATAGATGTCTCTCTCTCTCTCTCCCCCTTCATCTCGCTGTAAAAATCAATTTTAAAATAAAAAAACATACATATCCTTGGGTGAGGATTTAAAAAAAATTCTTAAAATAAATTGGACATTTTGAATAGAGATTAAATATTTGGTATCAAAAATTACTGTCAATTTTCCTTGGGTGTATGTGATCATGATATTGTAGTTATGTAAGAGAATCTTCCTGTTCTTAGGAAATACATGCCTACATTTTCAGAGATGAGATATCATGCCTGAAATTTACTTTAAAATAGTACAGCTGTGTAGTGTGGGCAGGAAGGGTAGCCAAAATCTATCCTTGACCTACAAAACCAGCAATATGGTTTAACCTAATACATACATGTAGAAAGTTAAAGCAAGAACAGCAAAATGTTAGCAATTGTTAAATCTAGGTGATATCTATACAGATGTTTATTGTACCATCCTTTCAACTTTTCCACATTATAAATATTTTATACTAAAAAGTTGGGGGGGAGGGATTCTCAGAAATAATTTCCTTAAATCATATCTATCAAATTTACCTTAAATAGAAGTACCTTAACTATTCTAAAGAAGTGGTTTGCATTTCCTCCTTCTTACCATCCATTTGAAGTCCTAAAACCTGCCTTAATTTTTGCAAATATTCTAATGCTAGGATAGGCCTAATATAAATCCCACAATAATCAGTACAAGATTTATAGGTGTAAACATCTGGTTTTATACCCAAATAACAAACTTAAGAGCAGTAAAACAAATCGTTTATTACAGCATATAATGTTATATTAAATTTACACGATATATAAAAACACATACTGTTTATATCATACAGTAATTTAACATCAACAGGAATATCAAAATACTACTCATGCACAAAACATGCTTATATTGGTATAAAAAAAGCAATTTTACACAATACTGTTTACCAAAAAACCATTTTCTTTTTTTAAAAAAAAAAGCCCTTCCAGACAGGGTCAGTGGTCCAATCTGGACTGGATTGCACTAACATGTTTGGGCCAAGGCTTAGGTGGCACAGCGCTCAGTGAGCAATTGTGGGCTTGGAGTCACGCCCAAGGTTATTAGGAGTGAATTTCTCTGTACCCACGGACCAAAATTTTATCCCAAAGGCAAGTCCTCCAAGGGAGGAATGGTTGGATCTGCTGCAAATTAGGGAGGAGGGAAAAGGCATCAAAATGCTGGGTAAACGGCCCTAGAAACGGTTACCGTAACCAGGGACGAGGCACCAAGTGTGGCAAAAGTTTAGTGAATCCCTTCAAGGTATTACCAGCCTCCCCATCCAGGTCACCAGCTCTCTGGACTTAGGGCCTGGTCTTCAAGTTCCGAGTCCAGTACACCAAACAGTTCTCAAAAGACAGAATGGGGGTATGTCTGAGAAATGTAGACTACATTAAAAAAAAAAAATCACAGAAAACTACCACCGTCCCTCATACCTACTTCACACAACAGGAAAGCCCTCCTGGAGGCACTACCCTCAAGAACCCAGAAACAAATGTAGGTCCTATAATTCCACCTACCTGATCTTCGGATCAAAAAGGTCTCATTCCCACGAAACCTGAACATCAAAACCTGTGCCTTCACAGATGCTCAGGAAATTTAAAACCATCAGCTGATACCACAAAATGTATTCACTATCACCACCATGAAAACCTCAATATTTACTTCTAACCAGCAAAACATTCTTTACCTTCCTTTAAAGGCACTAGCGTCCACATATAATGAAGAAGAGACATTAATTTACTTCGGTTTCATCTCAACGAAAGGAAAACATTCCACGAAATTATTACACACAAAAACTAAGACACCACCTCTCCCTCGGTCACTAGAAAAAAAACACACCACTTTCTACACCCACAACCTACTCAGACGGTCGTCATCAGCTTCAGAGAGCCAGACCGAAAGCGGAGGATTTTCTTCTTGAGGTTATGCGAAGCCTTAATTTTGACAAAGGTTTTGGTGGGGTTGCTGTGAAGGTCCGGGGCCGCGACGGTCTGAATGGGGAGCGTCTGCACGAACTGGGACCAGATGAGGCCCCCGCTCTCCTCCGAGTCGCTGGAGCTGGTGCTCTCGCCCGCGAACTCGCCCTCGCTCACGCTCGACTCGCTGTCGCCGAAGCAGTTGGTGGTGTAGTTGCTCTGCTCGTCCTCGCTGGTGTCCACCACGGTGGAGTGGAAGAGGGACTCGCACTCGGCCGAGTACTCGGAGTCGCTGGCCGCGTAGGCGTAGGGGCTGGCGTAGGGCAGGGCCACGGCGGGGTACAGGCCCGCCTCCCGCCGGCCGCGCCGCGCGCGCC